GGTTTCAAAGAAAGAAAACAGTGTTGTAAAGAAAGAAAAAGATTGCAGATGACACCGAGGTGAAAAGAACAAAAGTGGTTAGAAAGAATTAAGAAATTATATATTTATTACAGTGGCAGATTTCTCCAGGGGGAAGGGGGGGGGGGCATTAAGAAAATGTAATGGGTATTCAGAAAGTTTTACATTGAGATTTATATTTTTATTCATTCTGCAGAAATATATTGGTATGTTTAGAAAAGTCATCTACTTTATAAATAATTATTTGCAATTTAGCTTACCTGAGTCTAATGCCATGTTCACACAGAGAGTTTAATTCGAATCAAACGCAAGTTACTGCACAATAAATTTGAACAGCATTCACATGGAGAGTTTAATGCAAAAAAGTTTAATTTGAATTAATTAACTGCGCATTAAATTACTTCGCATTAGCTCCATGTGAACACTAAACGAAGCTTATTCAAATTAGATTTTGACGCATGCATAAGGCCTGAATTAAGTCACAGGCCCCATGTCAATAGTTAGATTTAGATATCAGTGCTAGGTTTGGTTGAAAAATAAATGAAAATTATGTTAATCACTAAATTGTATAAAAAACACTATGATTTTTATGTCAATTGAATCTGCTCGGCACAAATGATATGAATAATAATTAAATGAAGTCATAATATCATTGCTGATCTCCCTAATGTAGAAATAAAATTTTGATTCGCATAAGTTTACTTTGCTTTAGCTGTCGTATGAACACAATTTAATTCGCATATTTTTTTTACTTCTCATTAACTGTGAATTAAACTCTCCATGTGAAAAGGGCATAAGGCTCAAGTAAACTTTTCCGACTAAGAAGTGTCTGGCATATGTTTATCATATATACATAATGATCCCCAGGTTAAGGATGGGGCCACAATGGAAATCAAAGTTTTACACCAAAATACAAAGGAAAGAACATTAGAAATCTTCGAAGGCCATGATTAGTCAAGGAAATAGAAAGCATCATCAGTTGGTGTAGATTAAAGCTTGTTCAAATCATGCCTGCTTCCCTTCCCCTTAGGATTAGTTTGGGCCCAGTAGGAATTATTACTTTTTCAATACTGAAAACCAAAGAGCTAAGGTGAGCAATGTGACCCATGGGTCTTTATTTGACCATCATATTTCTGTGCAAAATATCCTAGTGTTTGTTCATTTTGCAAGGTTTTTTTTTCTCCCCATACTTTGCCGTTATGAAATTGTCAAAAGAAGTTTAAATATTTTTTTTAAATTCATGCAAGTTACAACGGATATTGTGAGAAAATAGGGAGGTTTTATTTTTGATAAAGGGAAACAACTCTTGCAAATGTACATTTTTTTATTCATGTAAGAATTTTATGCCAAGTCAGTTCACACAAGGAAAACCCAGTTTGCTGTCACATTGGGAGCCCTCCACTTGTCATAATTATCATGAAAAAAATTCTCCACCCTACCAAGTTTTCCCATGATTATGTGTGTCAATGATAATTATAAAGACTCTTGTGTTTTAATGTTATTTTTCAGGGTTCAGGAACCATAAATTTGATGTTGGAGTTTGAACTTCACCCTGACAGACTTTGAGCACATCATAAGTTTTAGACCTATGGACAAAAATCTGGCAGTTGGATGATAAGGAAAACACAGCCGTGATAAATATCAGAGAAATCTCCTTGGAAGAGTGTGCCGGTCTGGACAAAAAGTTTCAATGTGAATAACTTGGAAGAAAAAAAGAGTCTTGTCAAATTTCAGAGAATTCTTGATGAAAGATGTGTTGCATGTGTTGTTCTTGTTACATGAACTTTGTCTTTTTAACATTATTTAACACTTCATTTGAAGTGATGCATTTTTGACACATTTTCATTATTGAAATATTTACATTTGATACTCTATTTAGCCAGTGGGCCAAGAAAGGTGAATACTCATGTGGAATCATTGTCAGATAGGATAGATTCAAGTTTGTACATTGTACAAATCATGACCCCCTGGATGTAGAGTGGGGCCACACTGAGAGTTCAAACTTTTAGGAAAAAAGGCCACAATCAAAAATATATAAGCTTCCTTATTTAGTGTATGTTCAATTTTGTCAAATCATACCCCTCCCTTTTAGGGGTATGTCAGGACCATTTATGCATTTAAGTTTTTCAATACTTTATACTAAACTGATTTTTGCTTTTTACTTAGCCACAGTGCATAGGTGAACCAGTTGGTCCCTGAGCCTCTTGTTAACTCTGTATATTATATATATTTACCAAAATATTGAGGCATTTTCTTTTTGAATATTTTGCAATTAGAATTTTTTAACATTTTTTCCTGAAAGTAATTTGCACATTTATTTCATTTAAAGTTGTCTGGTAATGATGTGTTATTAAATGGATATTAAATTGTGATTTTTTTCTGGTGTTCTTTTGGACTTGAATGACAAACATATAATGGAAGGCATGTTGGAAAAGTTGGAGCTCTGTCATATACATGTGATACTTGTAGACCCAAGTATTGTTCACCAACATTGGAAATACAAGTTCAAAATATGGGAGCTACTATATGGCCTATATACTGTATGTGTACTTAAAAAAGTGGGCTTCATATTTATGTCTGGTAATCTGTATACATATGCCTTTTAATGAGTTACACAGTACCTTCACATACATGTACCTGACCTTGAGAGGGAATTCGCACTCAAATCTAGTATTAAAAAAAAAAAAACTTGCATGCAAGTAGATTTCCAAACAAGATATGTTTGTGAAACACTGATGCCCCAGTATGGCAACATAGTGAAGATTGAACTTCTCTTAAATGAAAATTTAATATACTGGTACCCAAAGTAGGGTCTCCTAACTTGAAATACAATTGTGAAACATGAAAACCCTATCATAATCTGTTCCCAATTTATGGTCAGGCAAAAGTTTTTTCATAAGTACAGAAATCTTCAAGATCAAGGTCATACACTCAAAGTTATTGGTATTGAATGAAAGGACTTGTTACCAAAAATACATATGGGAAGTATAAAATATCCTAGTCCTTACTCTTCAAAAGTTATTGCCAAGGTTAATGTTTTTTCATAAGTCCTGGAATGTCAAGGTCAAAAGGTCAAGGTTTTGGTATCCAATAAAAGGACTTGCCACAGAAAATACATATATGTATTGTAAAGTAAGGAAGGCTTGGAAGCCCTAGCCCTATTACAATTTATAAGTTATTGATAAAGTTAAAGTTTTTTCACAAGTCCGGAAATCTCCAAGGTCAAAAGGTCAAAGTTATTGGTATCCAATAAATGATCCTGCCACATGTGAAGTATTGAAGCTCTAGCCCTAACCGTTTAAAAATTTTGGTTACATTTTTTTTAAAAGTAAGTCAAACTCTGAGGTCAAGGTCAAAGGTCTAGGTATCAAATGATAGGTCTTGTCACAAGGAATAAAAAAACTAAAGTATGAAAGCAATAGCTCGTACTCTTGAATATATTTTGTCAAGGTTTGTTTTTTTTTTAAAGTAGGTCAAACGCCAAGGTAAAGGTCAAAGCTCTTGGTATCCAATGAAGGGTCTTCTCATAAAGATTACATGTGTGAAGTATGAAAGCTCTACCCCTTGCAATTCAAAAGTTATTGCCAATGTTAAAGTTTTTTACGAAGTTTTTGGGTATATAGTATTTGTTGTGTCCATCTGTCTGTTTGTCCGCAAAAACTTTAACCTTGCCCATAACTTTGATTTGGTAGAGCCATGACTTTCATATTTCACGTGTATTCCGACCTTTCTTTGGGTACCACCAAATGTGACCTTTTGACCTTGGAGTTTGACCCACTTTTACATGAAAATTTTTAACTTATACCCCCGGTACTTTGGCCATATTTTTTAACAGTAGATACCAGGACATTTATACTTCACATATGTATTTTTTTCAAAAAACCTTTCATTGGATACCAACAAACTTGACCCTTTGACCTTGTATATTTCCGTATCTGTGAAAAAAACTTGGCTATAACTTCTGAACGGTAAAGGACGGGGCTTTCATACTTCATATATGTAATCCTTGTGAGAAGACCCTTCTTTGGATACCAAGCATTTTGACCCTTTGACATTAACCTTTAAGTTTGACCTACTTTAAAAAAGCAATCCTTGACCATAACTTTTAAAGGGTTAGGGCTGGTGCTTCCATACTTTACACATTTAATCCTTGTGACATGACCTTTCATTTGATAACAAGAACTTTGACCTTGGAGTTTGACCTACTTTTAAAAATTTTCAACCTTGGCTATAACTTCTGAATGGTTAGGGCTAGGGCTTCCATACTCTACATAAGTATCCTATGTGGCAAGACCTTTCATTGGATATCAATTACCTTGACCTCGGAGATATTTGTACTTATTGAAAGTACTTTAACATTGGACTACTTTCAAATTCACAATTGTTTTCCAGTGAGAATACCCTACTTTTGGTACCAGTTAATTAAATTTGCATTTAAGAAAAGTTTAATCTTTGCTATTTTTTCATTAGTATGTAAATCTTCAAGGTCAAAGTTGGTGGTATCCAATGAAAGGTCTAGATACAAAGAATACATATGTGAAATATGAAAGTCATAGCTCCACTAACAAAATCAAAAGGTATGGGCAAGGTTAAAGCTTTTGCAGATAAACAGACAGATAGATGGACATGACAAAAACTATATACCCTCAAAACTTCATTTATGGGGGCATAAAAGTATAAGCACAAAACAAGACTAAGTTATTAATTTATTATATTGTTTCTGGCATTAATTTTTTTTTAATACACACAAGAGAGAAATGAAATATCTCTAAATTCCAGTCTTATCAGTGTCCTGTTTGTGTGGGATTTTTACCTGCCATTACATGTGTACATATTCTGCATTGTTATTCTTGAAATGCCTAATAACTGGACTATGCTCTCTCAAATTAGATAAACCATCAAGTCAAAAGCTTATAGGCTCAGTGTTGCGGAACTAATAGTACAGAATTAAGTGATAGCAAAAGGTCTAACAGTCTATAAAGTATAAATCCATCTCAATATAATAAATTCTCTCTCCCTCTTCAGATCCTTTTCTCTCCAACCAACTTTTTTTTCAAAGTTGGTTATGACATCATTCATAGGAAGAACTGAAATATAAAAATACCTGATTCATGATGAATTAAATAACAAGAGGCCCATGGGCCACAATGCTCACCTAGGTTACTTGGTTCTAGTGTTCCACAGAATTTTAAAAAATGTTCCTTTTTTCAATGAAAAATGACCAAATATTATGGCTTCACCTTAGCATAAACATTTGTAATGAGGTTTACTTAATCTTAATAACATATCCTACTGTCCTTCTGTCACACTTTGAACTTCATATGCTGTTACATATATTTTATTAACAAGAGTTTCTTATTTCTGACCTTGACCTTAATTTTTGTTAAATTATGTTAAGTTCGGTTTCAAGATTGTTTCAGATATTTTTAGCAAACCTTATATATGTGCAGATACATATTGATGGGATCTATTCAACTTCATAATCATTATTTTACTTGACCTTTCTTTTGACCTTGACCTTTCTTTAAATTAGTGAGTAAAGCTTAGTTTTAAAGAAACTATTCAAGAGACTTTGATTAATCTTAATATGCTTAAACTATAAACATTGATAAGAGCTATTAAGTTGCATGAACATTCATCATGATATTTTAATAAAAAATTATATGCTAAAGATATTGAATAGCATTTACAAACTGCAACAAAAAATCTGCCACTGTGCTAAATAATTAATTCTTTCTAACCATTACTGTCCTCTGTACCTTTGTCATCCACCATTATTTGATGGAAAATCTTCTTCTTTCTTTACAACACAGTTTTCTTTCTTTAAAATCTGCACCCCTTTAAAAATCAAGACTCTTTGTTGCTCCTGAAATTAAATGTGCAAATAATTCTTTAAAAACTAGAGCATAATTTGTATTTCTCATGGTGACAGATGATTGAGTAAAAAATGTATAAATTCTCAAATTTAGAATCTATTATCTTACTCTTAAAAGCTGTGAATTTAAAAAACACCCAGAGGAGTTAGATCCGCTCGCATACTTGCTACACTAACATCTAGTAACAACATCTCACAGAGGGTCAAGTCAGAGGTCAGATTCTATCATCCAATCAAATTGTCGCCTGCAAAATCATTGAATATTTGTTGAAAGGAATAAGTCTACAGTTGTTCCGAATTTGACCTTAGATGTGACCCTCGATGGGATATTGTTAGATGTTAGAGTAGCAAGTATGCGAGCAGATCTAACATTTAACTTTATTAGTTTGACCCAGAGGTGAACATACTTACTGTAAAATCACATATTTTCGTGGGTTCAAACTTTCATGGTTTGAGGAAAAAATTTGGTTCCTTGGAATTTGATTTCGTGGCTGAAGAATTGTTGAGTAAATTTATATGTAACACTGTACATTTCGTGGTGGACATGAATTTGTGGGTCTCTCCACACCTCCAAAACAACGAAAATTAACCCCCCACGAAAATTTGTGATTTTACAGTAAATGTGCATGTTCATACCCCTTTAAGATAAATGGAAAAGGCTGTCTTTTACCTGGAACATTTTTTACCATCTCACAGCAGCTCAACTTGCATAATCTGCAACATAACAGTTATTTCATAAAAATTGTTTTCATCAATCATAGATAAAATCAGCCAATCAAGACAATTTATCAATAGTCAGGCTTTTAACTTAAAGTTTTTTGTTTGTTTTTATGTTGTTTAAGGTCCCTCTCAAGAATTTTTCATTCATATGGAGACGCCACCATTTGCTGGTGGAGAGCTTTAAATTTATTCAATACTCAGCAAATATAGCCATTGAGCAGTGAGGGACCTTTTTTGTGCCAGCACATACTGTGACACAGGACCTCGGTTTATACCGTTTCATCTGAATGTAGTAGTCCTGGAAGTGCTAGCCTCGGATTGCCCTGCTACCTCTGATCACATATGTATATAGGTATATATGTCATGCACCTGCTGTGACGTGTACCTATCATCGCACACTTTTTCTGTTACCGGGTGCAGAGTACAGACAAATCTTTTCAGCTCCATCAATATTGTGCATTGTATATAGTAAATTACATATGAAGGACTGGTCTCCATGTCCCACAGTGGGATTCGAAGTCGGAACTCACGACATAAGGATCAACTCTTAACTTTGCAACTGTAGAGCAAACAGTCTTATATGGGCCACTCAACTGACCCAAGTCGCAATGTAAATAACAATAGATCTCAATGTAAATAACTTACTTCAGAGAAAATTCAAGTTAAAACTGTAAAGTACAATTAAGCTATTAAAAAACTATTAAAAATATCTGTTAGTAAATATATACACTATATCATTCAATTTAACGCCACTTTATCTAGATTTGGAACATAAATTCACAATGCAATGGCATGCATTGATGCAATCTCAATCTCCTATACAAAAGTACAGAGATAATTCGAACTAGTTCTTCCGAAGCTGTCGTTTAATAACAGCATGCTGACAGCTGATTTCTGAGACATTTCCTTTATCGAATGAATGGAATTCACTTCCTTGTACATTAATATAACAAAATCATCTTTACTTACCGGCAAACCGCCTGCCTTTCACTGGCGCCGTACTCGGCACTGTTGACCAGGGACATATATGGCAAGAAATTGGTACTGTGTTTTTAGGTGATACTTTTGTACCCTAGGGTACACCCCTATTAAATGTATGGAGAAAAGGGTACAAAAAGGGTACAGTACAAAACCATAGGAAAATGAAAGTAGATTTTTTTTCAAGATATCTTTGAGTCTCTAAGGTACAGTGGGTACAATGGGTACAGGAAAATGAAAGTAGATTTTTTTTCAAGATATCTTTGAGTCTCTAAGGTACAGTGGGTACAATGGGTACAGGTGTTTTCATTGGCTAATAACAGAAGAGTACACGCCCACTCATTACCTGTCTGAATAAGGAATCAGTTACCTGTAGTCTGCCTTGAGGGTAATTGCTACTTGCTACTGACCGCTACCTGGTGTTTTCATAGTGACAAACTTTTGTTTTTACAGTGATTAACTGTTTTATTAACTGTTTTAATGTGATTGACTGCCGTTCTCATAGTGGTGTTTTCATAGTTAGTATCTGTTGTGATACCTGGATTAAATGCCAAATGGGTAAGTTTTAG